TTCCGTTCCCGTAGCGCCTTTGCCGTGATGCCTTCCCCAAGGCACGCTCAGTTGGTCCTGCTCATCCTCCATTCCCATCGCCATTGTGGTTAGTTTCTTGATGCCTTGGGACACTTGGTTCTCTGTCTGTGGAGAACTTTGTCACTCTGTCTCTGTCTCCATGTGTTTTTCTGTCTCTGCCTCCACCTCTCTGGCCCCTCACCCCTTGTTACTGTCTTTGAGACAGAGTGTTGCTGTATAGCTCGAGTTGTGTAGATATTTACCACATATCAGGCTAACCTTGGACATACATCCCTCCTGCCTGAGCCTCTCAGGTGCTGGGATTGACTGTAGGTATCCAACCCTGAGCCCTCGGGTGCTGGGATTGACTGTAGGTATCCAACCCTGAGCCCTCGGGTGCTGAGATTGACTGTAGGTATCAACCCTGAGCCCTCGGGTACCCGTATGATTGAGCATTTTGAGAGCCAGGCACTCTCTACCCCACAGTCTCCTAGAGGGATTGTTCTGAAATTTAAATATGAGCCTGTCAGACAAATTCTTCTCCAGCAAATGCCCATTGATCATCCAGAGTTCCACTCACATACCATCTCCTCCAGAAAGTGTCCCTCCCTCCCCGGTGTTCCTGCAACCTTCAGGGCTCACTGAAATCCTTGGCCTGATTTCATGAAACGAAATGTGCTGCTAACCGGTGTGCCTCCCCTACCCCACCAGAAGCCAAGACTGTGCCTCACTGATTATGTCCCGAGCCTGACACTGTGCCTGGAAAAGGGACTCACCAGGGTGTATAAGATGCTGGGCCCTGCAAACAGTGACAGAGAGCCCTAAGTCAGTGTCACGTAAAGAATGAGGCAATGCATAACTTGAAAGAATGGGGACTTGTGGAATGGTGTCCAAGTCTCATGTCCCCTTGTCCTTTGACTGTCACAAGCACACCATGCTATGTGCCCCCACAAATAACAGAAGTCTACATACATCATGCACAAAGGTCAATGATTTATGAGGTCATCCATGGCTTCGATCACGCTGATTGTTTCACTAGTAATGTCATCTGCACCCTTGAGGTCATGGCGGGATCCCCCGTTGTTGCTCACATTAAAAGAGAGAAAATGCCTGTCTCCCAAGAAGAGTCTATTGCACCTTCCTTGAAACCTGCTCTGCTCAGTTTAGGTCATCAGTTCATGAGTACAGTGCCTAGCCGTGCCGACTGTCATCTGCTTGTCTCCTGTGAGCTGGGATTTCTATCTGGAATAGGAATGGGATGGGGGAGGGAAAGCTAGGTCCAATTAAGAAAGAGCAAGTCAATAAGACACACGGCTCAGTGAGTGAAAGCACTTGTCACCAATACTGATACTCTGAGTTTTGACCCCCTGGGCTCACCTGATAGGAGGAGAGAACCAATTGCTACAAGTTGTCCTTTGGCAGTGACAAGCTCAAAATCATGCACACGTGCACATGTGCACACACGGAATAAATAATAAATAGCATGATGAAAAACTGAGGAAAAAGGCAATGCCAGCTGCTAATTAGGCAAGGAATGGTGCCCTTCCATAGGTGCTCAACAGTCATTCGCTGAAAGAACATAAGAGACTGAGAGCATGGCTTGGTGCTCCTGGGAATTCTGGTGCTGGAAGGGATGAAGAGTGGCTTCCCATGCATTAGGATGCCCTCCACTTCAATAACCTGTTCTTAGGGTCTCTATTTCTGCAAAGAGACACCATGACCACAGCAACTCTTATAATGGAAAATGTTTAACTGGAGTGGCAGCTTACAGTTTGGAGGTTCAGTCTCTTATGATCACGGTGGGACATGGTGTGTGCAGACAGACATGGTGCAGGAGGAGTAGCTGAGAGGCCTACATCTTGCAGGCAAGAGGAAGTAGACTGCGTGTCACACTGAGTGTAGCTTGAGCAAAAGAGACCTCAAATCCTGCCCCCACTGTGACTCGATTCCTCTAAGAAGGCCACACCTACTTCAACAAGGCCACACCTCCTAATAGTGCCACTCCCTATGGGGGCCATTTTCTTTCAAACTACCACACCTGTTATCGATTTCAGTAGACTAAGACCATTTCCAGTCTTCACCTTTCTCAGTCACCATTGTTCAGAGCCAAACCTGGCCTGTCAAGCACAAACATTTCTAGAGCTTTTGTCTGCAACCCTGGATCTCTTCTAGAACATTTCCTAGGTATATAGGGTCATGCTTAACAGGTCTAATGCTTTTGCCTCATGAAGTAAACCAAGCCTTAACACTTTGTTGTTTTAAGAATCAGTTGTGACTGTAAAAATAATCAAGAAACTTGAATTCTTTTTCCAAGTCATGTCTAACCCATACTGTTTCACATGGAGAGTATGGCGTGGAGATAACAGAAATAAGATGGGGTCAAATATAAGGAACATACAGGAACAGGCTTGTATGAGGGTTTTACCCCAAGTTGATCTAGAGAAGGACCATACGCTACTTTTCAAAGTTAACTTCGGGGCCAACTGAAGTTTGGTACCTTTCTGTTGGCCATGGATCGGGAAGATGTTTTCCTTCCTTGTGTCAGGTGTAGATTCACCGAGCAGTCCTAAGCACTGCTGAGTTCTTCCTGCTCCTGATGCTGTCATCTTACACAGATGTCTCTGCCTCTTACACAGATGTCTCTGCGTCTTACACAAATGTCTCTGAGTCTTACACAGATGTCTCTGCGTCTTACACAGATGTCTCTGCGTCTTACACAGATGTCTCTGCGTCTTACACAGATGTCTCTGCGTCTTACACAGATGTCTCTGCGTCTTACACAGATGTCTCTGCGTCTTACACAGATGACTTGCTTTGGACATTATGATAAAGCTGAGAGGCCTCTGATGTTATAGCTGCTGAAAAGGCACAAAGGTCAGTAGAGAAAAGGTATCTATCAATCAGCTCCTACATGGCCACAGGCCGAGTTAATCCCATGGTCTTGGGCAAAATTTGTATTATATTTATTTATGCATGTGTTTGTGTGTGTATGTATGCTACGGTATTAGCAGGGATGTCAGATGACACTGTGAAAGTCAGGTAATAGCGGCACATGCCTTTAATCCAGCATTCAGTAGATGGAAGCAAGCTAGCCTGATCTCAAAATAAACATAAGAATAAGAACAAAACAAATGAACCCACCTTCCCAGAGGACAGCATGTAGGAACCATAGCCCTCTTTCTTCCATGTGGATTCCAGATATCAAACAGGCCATCAGGCTCGGTAGCCAGCCTCTTTCCCCACAGAGCCATCTCTGGAGTCCGGACAACACATTTAAAAATAATCAACATGCCTCCATGAAGAACTCAGCAGAATCTGACCCAAAGGTTAAGGCAGCAAAGGAGACAGATGGAATGTGAAGACAGAGACCACACAAGCCTTTTCATGTCACTCCAGGCAGCCATCGCTGACCCACAGGTCCCGATGAAGAGCCGACGTTCTCAACAGAAGCAGCCTTCAAGTTTCTGCTAAGTAACCTAGGCAACTGCTGTCAAAACCCACACAGCAGAGGTCTTATCTTTAGCCAAGATGTGAGAAAGCACTAATGTGTTGCCCTGCTATGTGATCCCAAGTTTTAGGTTTTTAAATCAGCCTGTCTGGTATCTGAGCTGATCCTGGAGGCTTGCTAAGGACGTCACAAGGGAGAAGATCTGGACTTAGCTGTGGTTGGTGCCGCTTGTTGAGACAGCATTTCGCATAGCCCTGGCTGGCCTCGAACTTGCTCTGCATCTGAGGATGACCCTGAACTACTCTTCTTGCTGTTCTCTTCACAGGAGTTGTCCCACCGCAGTAGGATTTTTTGCTGTGCTTCCTGCACGTTAGGTGAGCGGTCCTACTGTGAGAGCTCATCTGTGTGGCCATTTCCAGCTCCACTAGCTTTAGCTTGGCTTAGTCACAGGCATACTGTTATGTGTGAACATTCTGGCCTTATGACCTAATCTGTTTTCATTTTGATCTTGATAAAAGTCATTGAAAGAACCTAAGGATGGGACGGTAAAATGCATGTTCAAGGACTGTCACGTTAAGGGCTCAGAGTTTGTGTTTCCCGCCCTTGTGGCGGTCCCTAACCTGCATTCACCCTGATACGCAGGGCTGTGATGAGAACAGGCGAAAGTGGGGGCCCTTGGGACTTTTGTGAGTCTCTTTGAACCCCAGCTCCATGACTGACTTGGAGTGGGGCCATGAAGACATCCAACGCCACAGCTCTTCTCTCCCGGTTTATAAAATAAGGTGGTCGACAGTAAAGCACGGCCTATCCTTCCTTAAGGAATGGGCTTCTGGAAACTCCCCGTGGTCCTTCTAAAAGCATCGTACGGGCTGGAGGAATCAAGGCCTGCAATGGTTGACAGTAACGGTCAACTTGAAAGGTTCTAGCATCTCCAGGGCAAAAACCTCGAGTGATCGCAGGGTTTCTAGGTTAGGTGAACGGGAGGTCGGAGGACCCGCCCTAAACCCCTAAACGTAGTGTCGGCTTCATCACTCCTCGGGCTGAGACCCCAGACTGAATAGACAGGAGGAGGCCCTCTGAGCGCCGGTAGACAGCTGGCAGGTGTGATGCGACCATCTGCCCTGTTCTGCTGCCGCTGTACCTTCCGCACCGTGAAGGAACCAAACCGAACCCTTCCGTTCTTAAGCTGCTTTTGCCGGATGTTTTGCCACACCAATGAGAGTTGTTGCAACGAATACAGGCGTTTCCAGAGGGCGAAGGGCAAGATGAGGCCACGTCAGCATCAACGAATGCGTGGAAGAGCTCAGGGAGGCGCGGTTTCAGGGGTTTTGTTTACTTCTTTTTATTTTCACGTGTGTGTGTGTGTGTGTGTGTGTGTGTGCGCGCGCACATGTGCGAAGGTACATGAGTGTGTGAGTGGTTAGGTAGCTACAGAGGCCAGAAAAGGGTGGTGGATCCTCTGGAGCTGACACACACACATAAACACACACACACACACACACACACACACACACACATATTGGGAATCAAACCCTGGTCCTCTGCAAGAACAGCGAGCACCCCTGACCACTGAACCATCTCTCCACTCTGTTCTTTCCTAAGATAGAGACACAAAATGCCATGCATCCATGGCATTATACGATTAGTTTCTATTTACCCATCCTACGTTGGTAAGAATGTCTTCGAGGTCTCTGTCCCCTTAAGTTTTCAATAAGACCTACTGGAAAGTCCAGACTGCAGATGGGGGAGGGGCAGCATAAGAGGCGTTGGCTGCTTGGTTGACTGCTTGGTTGGTTCCTGCATTCGGGATATAGTCTTTTCTTTCCGTCGTTTTGCTTGGCCATTGTTTTCCCTTGTCCCCTAGAGACTCAGTCTCAAGTCGCTGAAAGAAAAAACACAACAACAAACCCCATGTACCATCTGCCGGTACCAGGCTGACTCCTCCCCGGGGACTGGAAGTCCCAGAGAAACACCACCATTAATCCAGTCACCAAGGAGAGATCGCAGGCTTAGTCTTTCCTCTCTCACTCTAGTGTCTCACGTCTAATAGGTGCGCCTGCCTGTCATCTGTAACCACACCCACTCCCGTGCTGTCTGTCACCTGTAACCACACCCACTCCCGTGATGCCTGTCACCTGTAACCACACCCACTCCCGTGATGCCTGTCACCTGTAACCACACCCACTCCCGTGCTGTCTGTCATCTGTAACCACACCCACTCCCGTGATGCCTGTCATCTGTAACCACACCCACTCCCGTGCTGTCTGTCACCTGTAACCACACCCACTCCCGTGATGCCTGTCACCTGTAACCACACCCACTCCCGTGCTGTCTGTCATCTGTAACCACACCCACTCCCGTGATGCCTGTCACCTGTAACCACACCCACTCCCGTGATGCCTGTCACCTGTAACCACACCCACTCCCGTGATGCCTGTCACCTGTAACCACACTCACTCCCGTGATGCCTGTCACCTGTAACCACACCCACTCCCGTGATGCCTGTCACCTGTAACCACACCCACTCCCGTGATGCCTGTCACCTGTAACCACACCCACTCCCGTGATGCCTGTCACCTGTAACCACACCCACTCCCGTGATGCCTGTCACCTGTAGCCACACCCACTCCCGTGATGCCTGTCACCTGTAACCACACCCACTCCCGTGCTGTCTGTCATCTGTAACCACACCCACTCCCGTGATGCCTGTCACCTGTAACCACACCCATTCCCGTGCTGTCTGTCACCTGTAACCACACCCACTCCCGTGCTGTCTGTCATCTGTAACCACACCCACTCCCGTGATGCCTGTCACCTGTAACCACACCCATTCCCGTGATGCCTGTCACCTGTAACCACACCCACTCCCGTGATGCCTGTCACCTGTAGCCACACCCACTCCCGTGCTGTGGCTTTACTCTATGAAGACCACTCCAGTCCCTGCCTCTGTCTCCTCCAGTCCACCCAGACCAGACACGGCAGCAGCCTAGACAGCAGCAAACCTGGTTCTACCATTCTCTGAATTACAACGCGTCAAGACCCTCAGCAACATCACGCCCTAGGTCCTCGCCACAGATCCCCACTTAACCCAGTTGCCTCTCAGGGACAACGCCCGTCAGCCTGTGTTCCCCCGGCTACTCTACACCTCTGTCCATTTTCTCTGCCTTCCACAACTTGTTCTAATTGCTTAAAACACTTCCTCCACCCCCAAACCCACACAATTCCTTTTCACTTTTAATTTTTCTTTCTTTTTGAGACAAGGTTTCTGACCTAGGCTGGCCTTGAACCTCTGATCCTCCTGTCTCCACCAGCAAGAGCTGGGATTATAGATGTTTAACACCCTCCGTAGTTTACGGGGTGCTGGGCATACTTGCTAAGAAAGCATTCCACCAGCTGAACTGCAGCCTAAGCCCCCTCTTTGCCTTTAAATGTCTCACATTTAACAGCTCTGAGCCTGGCTTTTCCTCCCATGAACCCATAGTGCCTACCCCATAGGCTGTTGGAAGAAATAAGCTGAGCTATACTAAGATCTACACCCAGCAGTTCAATAGTCACACAGTAGCCATTACCGTCTGCTCCAGGGAGCCTTGATCTTGAACTGCACTCCTCGCCATGGTCCTGTGTTTGTATAATACCCCCTTCTTTATCCCATTCCTTAACAAACTGACTCCACAATGATTTTCTAGAATGCGCGTTCCCTGAGAATACATACAAGGTCGTTATTAACCTGCGTCTCTGCTCCTTGTAGGCTCAGGAACGCCTAAGGGACCTAGAGAATTTTTAGTTGGATGAATTACCTGTCCAGGCCAAGAAGCTCTTTAGCACTGCAGGGGAGTCGTCCTGGATAAATTACGGAAACTCTTTCTCTAGGGATTGTGATAAAATACCCCTGAGATGTGTGGACTCCTGTTATACCCTTTGCTAAATAGGGACAATCGTGTCACCTGCCCCCTGGGCTAGTGGCAGGGCAGGCAGAGGCACTTCCTCTCCGTCTTCACTTGAGAGGACGAGGAGGAGGAGGACCTAGTCATTGCCTTCAATCCTGACAGATAAACGGCACTGTTACAACTCTCCAGAACTCAAGCAGCAGCACCTAATTAGGCGCAGGTTCAATCAGCAGTCAGACTCCGGCTAGGTTGTGATTGGCTCATTTGCGCTGCCGAAGGGATGGCTTTGCTGGTGCACATGCAAACTGCACCTCAGAGATGCTCAACTAAATAAGGACCTCAATATTTTTAAGGCCCATTCCAGGTGAAATGCCTGCTTTATTTTATTTTATTTCCTGAGAAAAGGAGCAGGGAAGTTGCTGTGTACCCACAGCAGATTTATTAAGGTTTTTATCTGTTTCCTGATTATGAAAGTAATATACTCACACTGTGAACCCCTTGGAAAATATAATACAGGCAGTAAAGAAAGGAGCCACCATCTACAGACCTAGTCTGTCCTCCGCTGGGCTCACTCACAGCTACATACGGGTAACTCCACAACCGACCTTACCTAGTGCTTGGTTGACTCTGAATGCGAAGCTTATGCTTATGATCCTCAAATTAATATCTCACTCCTGCCTGGAGACCGAAGAGACAAGGCCAGAGCATGCAGATGCTTAACACTATCAAAAGTTCAATATGGACACACACACACACACACACACATACACACACACACACACACACCACACACACCGAACTTTCTTTCTCTCCTCTGCTCACAAAACTGTTCCCAGCCCTCAGCAAGCTTTCCCATGTGAATAAATGCCACCACCATCTGCCCTCCCAAGTCAGAGGCCGCAGCCATATACCTCATGCATATTTACCAAGCAGCAAGTCTTAGCTAGCCTTCCCCAAACCACCCTGGGTGGGCAGGTTGTGAGGGTCATGCAGAAGGTGTGAAACATGTCTCCACCGTCAACTCCTGAAGTGCACACGGCCAGGGTTACTTGCCTGGGATTTTCTTCCAGAGCAGTTCTTCTTTCTTTCTTTTTTAAAATTTAATTTAGAGTCAATCTTATTTTACATATCAATCCCAGTTCCCTCTCCCTCCGATGCTCACCTAACCCCTCCCATTCCACCAACCATTCACTTCGCAGGGAGGGTGAGGCCTTCCATGGGGGATCCTCAAAGTCTGTCACATCATATGGGTGAGGGCCTAGGGCCTCCCCTGTGTATCTGGGCTGAGATAGTATCCCTCTATGGGGAATGGGCTCCCAAAGTCCATTCGTGCACTAGGGATAAATACTGGTTCCGCTGTTAGAGGTCCCATAGACTGCCCAGGCCTCCTAACTGGCACCCACATTCAGAAGGCTTGGTTTGGTACAATGCCGGTTCCTGGCTTTTCGACTGGGGTCTGTGAGCTCTCACTTGGTCAGGTCAGCTGTTTCCATGGGTTTCTCCAGCACCGTCTTGACCCCCTTACTCATCCCTCCTTCCTCTCTACAGCTGCATTCCAGGAGTTCAGCTCAGTGCTTAGTATGGGTGTCTGCTTCTGCTTCCATCAGCCACTGGATGAAGGTTCTAGGATGGCATATAAGGTAGTCATCCATCTCATTAGAGGGGAGGGGCATTTAAGGTGGTCTCTCCACCATTGCTTAGATTCTTAGTTGGGTCATCCCTGTGGATCTCTGGATATGCCTGAGATTTTTTAAAGACCATTTCTGTTCTGTTTTTCACTTTTTCTACTCTTTGCAGTCAGAGTAGTATCTTGTTACTGTTGTTAGGCCAGACACATAGAAGTATGACTGTAAGAAGAATGTGAATAACTAACCCAGAGTTCTTGATCATGCTGGTACTGGCATCCACTTGCTGCTCTGGTCACATCTGGAGTGGGAAGTTTAGGATGGCATTCTCAGAAGCCGCATGCACGGCTCAGAGCAAGCTTAGGTCTTTTGGTTGGTGCACAGTGTTCTCTCTTACTGACTGAAGTCATAATTACTTCTTTGATCGTTTCATATTTATAGTCTAGCAAGAATTTTCAATCTATGGTGCAAATGAATAAAAATAACACTTTCAAAATATTTTTCTCATACCTTATCTTAGTATTCAACCAGAGTCTCTGTGTTGCTTAATGATTCAAAACTCAAATATTCATGATTCTAGAACTCTTTTATTTTTAATGACTTGTGTGTGTGTGTGTTTATGCACGCCTGTGTGTACGCACACATGCATGCATGCACAGGCACATGTACCACTGTAACCATGTGAAAGTCTGAAGACATCTTTTAGAGGTTGGATTCTCCTTTTGTTGTGGGATTCAGCAACCAAACTCAGCCCATTAGGCTCACACAGCAAGCATTATTACCTGCCCAAATCTGTGAAATTCTTGATAAATGAGCTACTTGGAGTTATCTCTCTCATTTTAAATTTAAACTCAGTCAGTTTTGGTTTTCTAGCTGCTTTGTTTTATTCAGGAAGACTTGTTTAGATTGAAAGAGACGGTGGGCCTCGGCATAACTTGGTGAATTTAGCTGTGGACAGGAAAAGACCTGCTTTCTAGCAGGAAACTAAGAACTTGTCTCCAGGTAGTCTTTGATTAGTCCCACTTTTATAAGCTTACATGGCCTCTGCCCTACAGTCAAACCCGGGGACCAATGGCTCCAAATAGCCTGTGGTGGTTTGAGTGTGATTGGACTCTATAATCTCATAGAGAGTGGCACTATTAGGAGATGTGGCTTTGTAGGAATGGGTGTGGCCTCGTTAGAGGAAGTGTGTCACTGTGGAGGGGTGCTCTGAGGTTTCCTATGCTCAGTATCTCAGTCGACTGCCTGCTGCCTACAAGATGTAGGCCTCTCAGCCTCTTCTCCAGCACCATGGCTGCCTGCATCACACCACACCATGCTTCCCGCCATGATGACAATGGATTGAATCTCTGACACTGTAAGCCACCCCCCATTAAATGCCTTCCTTGTGAGAGCTGCCATGGTCATGGTGTCTCTTCATAGCCGTAGAAACCCTAACTCAGACGTAGCCTTTGTTCTATTCTCTGGCTACCATTCCCAGTTCCTCTTGGCATCACGGGAAACTCCAGACTCTCCCATGATGGTCTGCTACTTTGGGTCCTTTGCGTACCTTGCCTCTGTCCCTCTCTGCTTAAACTCTGGGTACTCCTTCCTCACTACCCTTGAGTGGTTCAACACGGGCCCTTTCTTCAGGCTTCCTATGCCTAGTTAAGTGTTCTGCTCTCTTCCAGATTGAGGATCGGCCCTTTCTTCAGGTTTCCTATGCCTAGTTAAGTGTTCTGCTGTCTTCCAGATTGAGGATTGGCACAGTGAGGGGTGAAACAGGCAGATGTCGTCCAGCTGCAGGGAAGAGGACAGAAGACAGATGATCTCCAGCTGCCAGCCTCTCCAGATGCAGAAAGCGACAGTTGCCAAGGCCGTGCCTTCTGTAGGGCAGCTCATGTCCACGGACTGACTGAAGAGGGGGGTGTGGGACTCCAGTCTTTCTGCCTAAGACTGAACAATTCTGATGAGTCATAATTCCTCCAGGGTCCCTTCTCCGGAAGCCTCTCCCCCTGCCTAGTCCTGCTTCCTTCTGCTTCCTGTCTGGGGCACTAACTGCTAGTCAGCATTTTACACCCCAGCCTGCAATATCTGAAACTCTGAAGTATCCTGAAAAACTGAAACGCTCTTGCTTTTCCTTAGCTCTCCCCCAGCCCAGTCCTTGGAACTCTGGCTTTCCTATAGCATCACTCGGTGTCTTCCTAATCTTTGGGCACACACACACACACACACACACACACACACACACACACACACACACACAGGCAAAAGCAAAGCTTTTGAAAGAGACTTTTCCCACCAACCTTTATTCCTTCGCCTGACCTTTGAAAGGGTGCCTCCGAGACTCACGGTTGTTCTCCTGGATTTGTCTGTGGCCCTTCCTTCATGAGGCAATGAGCTTGAAACATTCGGAGTGCTGCCTGGGCAAGCGGAGGGTTCTCGGGGTGCGTGAGGGCAGAGGTCTGCGTGAGAGGAACCAAGAAAAAACGCTTCTATTATCTCAGTCTTTTTTTTTTTCCTTTAAAAGCATGATCTCATGTAGCCCCGGCTGGCCCCGAACTTGCTATACCAGAGAATGACCTTGAACGTCTTAACCTCTGACTCCGCCCTAGTAGTGCTGGGACTGGAAGCGTTTAAGCATTTGCTGCCTGCACTCTATTTATGTAGCCCCGAGCTGTGCAGGGCTTTGTGGGCGCTAGCCTAATGGTCTACCTCTGGACTCCATCCCCGGTCCTTTTAAGTCAGTCTGACCCTCGCTTTCTTGCAATACCCGTAATTGCCAGAGCACCAGTGAAAACAACCGGAACTTACGTCTGTTCTGGTTGTGGAACCCACACAAGGAAAGCAAAGACATGGTAAGGGAGAGAACACTAAAACCTTAATTGCCAGCGCCTGAAAGCTACAAGATGCCCTTCAAGAACTTGAAAATGAATGTTCTCCTGGGAGAGACATGCAAATCCGTCTGAATGAGAGAGAGATTAGCACTCTAAGAAGTAAATCAGCCTGTAAACCCCGCCAGTCCGAAAGCTGAGGCAGGAGGGTTTCCAGGAAATTCAGTGAGGTACTCCCCTCGCCGCCCCCCCCCCACTGAAAACAGAAACGAAAGCTAAAAATAGGAATGGTTGTAACTCCGGAGATGATGGTTTAGGTTTAAAGTGCGGCGAGGGGGGGTGGGGGGAGCAGGCGCGTGGGCGGGCGGCCGTGGCGATAGGGCTTTGCTGTATATCAGTGACAACATTGTTCGGCTAGATAGTGGAGACAGGAATGAAAACGTTGGGCAACATCAAGAGAAGAGTCTAGGGAAGGGTTCTACTGGAGACAGGCTTTACTATGCGGCGGTGGAGAGACTGGACTCGGCACCAGCACGCCAGTCGGTAGCGTGCCTGCTCGGCACCAGCACGCCAGTCGGTAGCGTGCCTGCATGCTGCTGAAGCAGGCACAGCAAATGAGTCAGGGGCACGGACGCTTCTCTCTGCTGCGGACTGTGGGTGTGACTCCACCAGCTGTTTGAATTTTCCTGCCTTTTCCCGTTAACGGTGAACTGTAACCTCCAACCGTAGGCTGAAATACCCCCCCCGTCCCCCCTCCCCAAGTTACTCTCTGTCAAGGTATTCCATCACAGCAACCGTCTAGATTTGTCCTTGGTTTTTCTCTCGGCATCAGACCGTACAAGAAGTGGTATCAAGTCATTCTAGGCATAAAACTGAGACTTACTGGCTTCCAATTCTGTGCTCTGAGGAGCCCTGGGCCTCCATGTTGGGAACCGGGACTCATTGTCCAAGGGTCTTTGTGGAAACAAAGGCACGTGCAAAAAGAAGCCTAGTAGGGGAAGAGAAGAGACCCAGCCACCTCAGCATTCCCACAGCCCTCAGCCCTCACTGACAAGCCAACTCTATGGACCTCGAGGGTAGTCACTAGCAAGAGCAGAAACGGAATCGGATGGCCAAGACCACCGATTTTGTAGACTTGTGAGACACAATGCAAGGTTCTCCCTTTTAAGCTAGTAGATTTTTCTAAGTGGCCTACGACGCTTTAGATGACCAAAAAAGAGGTTGTCGCTTACAGACTTCAAGCCTTCGGGCAGACCCTCCCAATTAAGAGACAGATTCAGCTCAGGCAGCTCAGAATGCTCCATTAAACACGCACCGCACCTTCTTGCCCTCTGTGCTGCTGCGGGCTCCCCTAACAAGCTTCCAACCTCTCCACGAGTCCCCGGTTCCTGCCTTGCCATGTGATGCTGACGGGAGAGACAGAAGATGCCAGCTAAAAAACAAAAGGGAAAGAAAGAAAAAGTCCGAAATCATCTTACTGTGGTATTTTAAAAGGTTCAGCTTATAGGGAAATTCTCAGATCTTTGTATTTAGATGATGGAAGGTCTGTGGCTTGGCAGCCCACACCTATAATAAAAGCATCAAAGGTCTTCATAAACCAGAAGATTTTTGTACGTGTGTGTGTGCGTGCATACGTGCACACACGTGTGCACTTGTGTCCATGTGCAAATAGGTTTAGAAACGTATACTCTGTTAAACCAGAGGACATACCTCATCTGTTGTTCCGCAGATGAGAAAGAAACACTTTGATTTTTTAAAAATTGTTTTCTCCTTACTTTTTCTTTTTCTTTTCTTTTCTTCCTTTCTTTCTTTAAGATGGTGTCTCATCTTAACCTGGAACTCACTAAGCCGGCTAGGCTGGGTAGTCAACAACCTTAGGACTCTGCCTGTCTCTGTTGCCCTACGACTGGAGTTACAATTTTGCAACATAATCCCCAGCCTTCTTTGTTGTTGTAAATATGGGATCTGGGGGACCAAACTCAAGCTCCCACACTTGCAAGGTGACCACTTTACCAACTGAACTGCCACGGTAGGCCCAGAGACGTTTCTCTTGTGCTCCTTCTTTATCTGTCTAATCACCCTCAGAGCAACAACTCCTGAGTCTCTTCCTTCAGGAATTTGTTTTGACTAACCCTGAATGCCATGGAAATGAATACATGCAGTCTGTTCTCTTCTGTGTCTGGCTTCACTCTCTCACTCTACTGTCTGTGGAATTTATTTGCTGCTGTATAAGTTGGTCATCATTTCTTCCCATATGGAACATTCTATGACTACTGTTCCATAGAATGGATACACCATTCCTTGGCTTATGTACAGTTTTCCAGTTGTGTTAAGTTTGAGGATGGTAAGAAGAGAGACAAATATAACTAACAAATACATTGATGGTATATTCGATAACTCTAGTTATAAGAGAAATTTAAATGAAACTCCTAATGACATAATATTTCACATCCACTAGAGTAGTTAAAATTAATGCAGCTGATAAGATATGTCAACTTGACTTTCTCTCCATGTTGCTTTTGGTCATGGTGTTTTGTCATAGCCCTAACTGAGACTAGCTTGTCCCAGGAGTGGAGTGTTGCTGTGACAGGCCTGACCATTTTTGGAAAGAATTGTGGAAGGATTTGGAGACATTGGGCTAGAAGAGTCAGTGAGCTCTTCTGTAGGAGCTTGGAAGCTAAGAATGTTGAGAGTACTACAGACAATGGAGGCCTGACTTGTGAAGTTTCAGAGGGAAGCAAAGACTCCTCTACCAGGCTTTTTGTGCGAAGAATCTGTAGTTAGCTTGTGCTGAAGAACCAGCTTCCATTAACAAAACACCAGAAATGCTAACATGAAACCTTGGCTTTGCTGAGATACTGCACGCTGGTCAACTGGACTTGCGAAATTGGCAGTGATTAAGAAGAGACCATCATTACTGAGGTTAAACCCAGGAAATGTTTCCTGAGAGTCAACACACAGAAGCTCTGTTCCAGAGGTGGCCAAGGTTGTACCTTACACTGGCAGACAGACTGGGTAATGTGTAAGCATCCCCCAGGTGGTGCTGGCTTTGAAGGCATGAAGGGGTCATGGAGAGCAGCTGAGGCTTGGTACGGTAAGGAGCCAGGAGAGGCCATTGGCGAAGGTATAGCCTAGGAGCGTTGGAGGCACAGGACTGGAGGAGTCATACAGGGAAGGAGAGGATTTGCACCATTAGGAGAGCATAGAAGAAGCTATCGGTGAAAGTGCAGCCCAGTTGCAGTAGAAGACCCCAGCGTTTTGGAGATGCCAGGACAAAGAGACGGCCACCAGGATCAGCAGCAGCAGTGAAGTGGAGCCAGGGGAGCTTAGAAGACAGCTGTGTGCGCTGCAGAGGGCGGAGCCGGAGAAGAGATCCAAGGTCCTTGGAGGAGCCCAGAAGATGGTGAGTGACTTCCAGACCTCTGACATTGAGTTATTTACATTTTTGGAGTTTGACTTTTGCTTTGGTGTGATTGGGACTGTGCTCTGGCTCTTCCCTTTTGAAGTAAGGATGCATTTTGATTTTTAAAATTTTTTTGCAAAGCCCACAATGAAGAGACTGAGTTTTTATTTGTTTGTTTTTACATCCTGACCAAAGTTTCCCTTCCCTTTCTTCCTCTCAGCCCCTCCTCCCCAGACCTCCAACTCCACTCCTCCTCCTCCATTTCTCTTCAGGGAAGGGCAGCTCTCCCATGGATACCAGCCAGCCATGGTATATCAAGTTGAAGAAAGACTAGGCACCTGCTCTCCTATTAAGTCTGGATGAGGCAACTTACTAGGAGGAGTGGGTCCCAAAAGCAGGCAACAGAGTCAGAGACAGCCCCTATTCCCACTGTTAGGAGTCCCACAAAAAGATCAAGTTACACAACCTTAACACATATATAACGGGCCTAGGTCATTCCCACGCAGGCTCCCTGGCTGTCGGTTCATTCTCTGTGAGCTCCTATGAGCCCAGGTGAGTTGATTCTGTGAGTTTTCTTGACCCCTCTGACTCCTACAACCCTCTTCTCTGTCTTCTGCAAAAATTCCCTGAGCCTAATGTTTGACTGTGGATCTCTGCATCTGTTTCCCTCCGTTGCTGGGTGAAGCCTCTCTAATGATGTTTGGCTAGGCACTAATCTATGAGTACAGCAGAATACTTTTAGTAATCATTTCACTGACTTTTTTCCCCATAGTGTTTGGTTCTGTACTAGGTCTCTGGGATGTCTATCCTGCGTCTGCCCTCCAGGCAATGTCAGGATAAGCTCCCTCTCAAGGCATGGGTGTCAAGCTGGACCAGTCATCGGTTGGTCATTCTCTTAATTTCTCCACTGCCTTTACCCCAGCACATCTTGTGGGCAGGGCAAGTTGTAGGGTGAAGGTTTTGTGGCTGGGTTGGAGTCTCCATCCCTCCACTGGAAGTCTTGCCTGGTCACAGGAGAAGAGATGAAGAGACTGAACTTTAAAAGAGATCTTAGGTTTTGATAGAGACTGGATTTCAGTGTTTGGATTTGCAGAGACTTTGGGACCTTTAAAGTTTATAAAATGTTTTATGTTGCAATGTTGATGTTAGTGTGTGATATTGGGGATGAACAATAAGGAAAGGTATGACTTCACAGTGATGTGTTTGTGTGTAAAACTGGCAAGGGGTCCATTGTCCTGGCTAGCTTTATGTCAAGGTGACACAAGCTATTTATCTGAAAGGCTCAAACTTCAACTGAGAAAAAAGCGCCCTAAGATCTGGATGCAAGGCATTTTCTTAATTAGCGATATGTGGGGGAGGGCCCAACCCATTGCGGGTGATGTCATAACTGGGCTGGTGATCCTGGGTTCCATAAGAAAGCAGGCTGAGCAAGCCGTGGGGAAACAAGCCAGTAAGTAGCACCCTCCATGGCCTCTGCATCAGCTCCTGCCTCTGGGTCCCTGCCCTACCTGAGTTCCTGGCCTGTCTCTCTTTGATGGTGAGCATTGCTGTGGACGTGAAGGCAAAACGAACCCTTTGTAGCCCATCTTGCTTTAGGTCATGGTGTTCTATCGTAGCGATAGTAACCCTAACTAAGACAGACATGGAACCAGAACTCTCATGCACTGATGGTGAAAACATAAATGACTCTATCATTTGCAAAATGTTTAACAGTTATTTTTAATAAAAGTTTTTAATGTAAAAGTTTTTTATAAACCATTTTTTAGGAAGCTGAACACAAATTTAAGCAATGAACCGGACATTCCACTCTCAATGATTTATGCAAGACAAGACCACATGACTTTTTAATATCTACTTATTACAAACAATAAGTTCATCGAACATTTCTAAAAATGTCATTTTTGACTTGGTTCATGTAGGTTCACATTCGGAGAGATAAATTTGCTTTTTTATGTTGACAAAGAAAAACAACAACAGATTTTTGGATATAGAGTTAAGAAATAGATATGAGACAGTAGCAGCTCTTTTAAGCCAATGCAGACCTTCTCAGAGTTTCTCTGCTGAGTGGGCCCTCCCTTGTGCTCTCTGGCAGCAAGGCCTCCCCTCCGCATCACCCGCCGGTGTGAGGAAGTTCTGTCAGAAAAAGCGAGAGCAGGAACAGCACATAGAAAAGCTGCCAAGGAAGATACCAGCTTCGAACGGTGGGTATAAGACCATCAAAGGAAAGGGCTTGAAAAGAAGGGATTACGGAAGTCTAGCCGTGGCAAAGAAGTAAATTACGAAGGTTCTAGACAGGCCAATGGTTTTGCCCGTAGGAAGGCGGTGGTTACAGGGGAGTGCCGAGGAAAGAACCAGAAAGCTGTGTTGAGTGAAAAGAAGTAGAATCCGAGCCATGGATGACTCCTTAGAGGTACACCAGGCAACGAAAGAGGAAGGGGTTTGTTTTCTTGTTATTTCTGTGTTGCCCAGGGCCCTGTGCATACAGTACCTACTCAACCACTGAGGTCCCTACCCCAAGAAAGGTTTATATATGCGGAACTTGACCATGTGTCCAGGGTGAGGAGAAGGGAAACACAAGGACACAGAGGCTGCCGATAAAACAGGAAGGAGTTTGACTGAACAAAACTGTGAAGAGGAAGGAGACAAAGTCTTGAATGCATTTAGAGAGTCTTAACTTGGTCTGGAAAGACTAGCTCACGCTTTGTGAGGGGAAAAAAGGCAAGCTGGACAGGCACTCAGGGCACCGATGGCAGAGCTGGGGAAGTCTGGCTGTGAGCATTCTTTTCAGGATGGCGAGGGACTCAAGGGCGCATGTGAAGAGTAGGATCTGACAGTAGTGTTTGACCTCGGGGGAAAGTCAAGGGAGGAGTTAGGGATAGAATCAGCATGGCGCGAACATCTTGATAGGGAGGGTTGGGGTCCCTGCACTGCTGAGGGCATGTACTTGAGGTAAAGCTAGTCCTTAGCATGGCTCTGCACTTTGATTTGGGGGTAACCAGGCTCAGCAGTACAAGAGAAGGAAAGAGAATAGTGGGTTTACCCAGGGCAAGAGAAGAGTCAATGTGTATGGGGTCTTCCGGATTGAGGGAGCCAAACAAAAATATGCCATGCTACCAAGGGAAGTTAGGAAGACAAAAAAATAGGGTGGGATTTAACAGGAACAAAACGTGTGTGGGATCAGACACAATAGGATAAATGTTAAGAGAAGGCTTAGCAGCAGCTGAAAACAGCCACTTGTTTCATAAAAACTGGTGAAGGTCAATGGCTTCGATCGTGTCTGAACTTGACAAGGGAAGTCTGGAAGTTTCTTGATCCCACCGTCACACTTTCTACCTTCCGCACCCAGGACGGACTGCCAAGCTTGTACGCCCATCGTGAATCATGTTCTTTACAAGGACATCAAGGATAACAGATCTGTATGAAGTAATATTTATCAATAAAAAACTACTCAAGAAAGAACAAAGATACATTCTTACCAAAGAGATAGGACTGACTGAAGCAGATATTTTATGAGAAATAATCTTGGAGCTATAATAATTATGGATAGATCATAGGAGATTTCTTGGTAGATCACGCACAGCTGTGCCATCACCCTGTTGGAGCTTAGTCAGGAGCCCCTACTTACGTGGGACTGGACAATAAATGAACTCTCTGGAGTCTGTCTTATTGTGGAAATGACTTTGCTTTCAAGGCTGCAGTTTGGGATTGCACACACAAACACACACACACCATAAAGTTTTATTCATCCACAGAAAAGAACAAACTTACATTTTCAGGAGAATGAATGAGACTGCATGACACCATGTTAAGGGAAATAGGCCAGATTCAGACAAAAGATCACATCTGACATCATATGTGAGATGTAGATGTGTGCGGTGTGTGACAGGAACAGCAGAAGTGAGACTGTGAGGGGGGAGGGAGGGAGGCGGTGAGGAAGAAAGAGTAACCGGGAGAGAGAAATGTACACGCTTTCTTTCATATACAGAATCTAGCCATAAAACACTCCCGTGTGCATGCATGTGAGTGTGTGTGTGCATGTGTGCATGTGAGTGTATGTGTGTGCATGCGTGTGAGTGTACATGTGTGTGCATGCGTGTGGATGTATATGTGTGTGCATGTGTGTGAGTGTATATGTGTGTGCATGCATGTGGGTATATATGTGTGTGCATGGGTATGAGTATACGTGTGTGGGTGTATATGTGTACATGCGTGTGAGTGTATGTGTGTGTACATGTGTGTGGGTGTACATGTGTGTGCATGTGTGTGAGTGTATATGTGTGTGCATGTGTGTGTATATGTGTGTGCATGCATGTGGGTGTATATGTGTGTGCATGTGTGTGAGTGTATATGTGTGTGTGCATGTGTGTATATGTGTGTGAGTGTATATGTGTGTGTGCATGTGTGTATATGTGTGTGCATGTGTGTGGGTGTATGTGTATGTGTATGTGTGTGAGCATATGTGTGTGTACATGTGTGTGGGTGTATGTGTATGTGCATGTGTGTGAGTGTATATGTGTGTGCATGCATGTGAGTGTATATGTATGTGCATGCATGTAGGTGTATATGTGTGTGAATGTGTGTGAGTGTATGTGTGTACATGCATGTGGGTGTACATATGTGTGCCTGTGTGTGGGTGTATGTATGTGTGCATGTGTATGAGTGTATATGTGTGTGTATGTGTGTATGCATGTGTGTGAGCATATGTATGTGTGCATGTGTGTGGATGTATGTGTGTGAATGTATGTGTGTGTGCATGTATGGTAGTGTATGTATGTGTGTGTGCATGTGTGTTTAAAATATGAAAGCAGAAGAAAGACAATCTTGGTGGTCAGAAGGGGACCAGTGAGGAGTGTGCAGAGAGGAGGGGCAGGATAGGATAGTGGGGTAGTGATTATAAGCAATGTATAATAATATATGTGCATAAAATTGTCATAATGAAACCTATTATTTTGTGCTAAAATTAATTTTTAAAAAGATAGTTTAAAAGATTTTTATATTTGTCAAAGCACTAAAAGTTCTAGAAATCATTTAGCTTATAATTCCATATGGGAATTCTCTCTCCTCCTCCTCCCTCCTCCCACAAGCATAGATACATTCACACATGTGCACATGGATTTCTATATGCACACACATGTCTTGTGCACTGACTTTGCTGTTCCCCTCTGAGTTCCATTATTCCCTCTTCTGGGACACAGGAAGCATCTGCTTCCCAATCCTTTATGACGGGCCTCTGGAGTCAGGATCTGCTCCGTGGCGTCAATGGAGACTCCAATTCTCTTTCTCTTAGCACCCTAACACATGCTTTCATGGACCCCCTTGGATCATGTTTTCAGCCATGCCCTATCTTTCCCTCTGTCACCGAGAACAGGAGGATGGTGTGACCCAGCTGGTTAAGTGCTGACCGTGAGACTTCTCTGGGGAACGCTGTGAAGGGGTTGGGATCCATCTCGACAATAGGACAAAGCACAGACTTAGTCACCATTAAACATCCCTGAGGGGTTTTTATTTCCCCCTCCCCTGTAGGCCCAGAAACGTCTAAACCTCTATTTTCTGTTTGCCACATCTTATTGCCTCTTGTCTTTACAGGCCACACTCCTTGCTACAGTAAATATCCAGATTTCAGAAATAGTGTCACATCTCTCCTTGTGTCCCCTGCGCCTGGCATAAAGGACCCACTCATTGTGTGTGGAACAAACAAAAGGGGCTGTACGAAAGAACCCACGGCCAGAATGAAGTACTTCATTTCTTCAAATGTCAGATAGCAGCATGCGCTGACTTAAAACCTTCCAGGATAAGGCCGGAGACGTTAAACTCTCATCCTTTCCAGAATTCTCTCTAGTGAATGCAACCAAACACAAGAGAATGAGAGACCTGCCACAGTGCCAGTCACTTGACTTCAAACTAGAGGCCTTAGGCAGGGTCTCTGGAAGGCGGCTGTCAGGTGGAGTGCGGACGAGAGCGTACTAACAGCTCGTCTTGCTGCCCGCATTGCCCCTGGGTTCAGACAACGGTGTCCTTCCCTTCAGTCCTCTGGGGCAGGACAGATGGCACTTACAACCAACTCAGCATCTGGGAGATGTTTTTCCATGACGACAATTAAGATGCGTGTCCTCCTCCGTGTCCCTCGCTTGCAGGACTTGAGCAGTCTTGCCAGCGGCTTGCTCTCCGCATGGCTCCCTTGTCCATCAGGGCTGTGGCTGCATCGTGGCAGAAGTAGAAAGCAGAGTTGCAGTTGAGCTGGAAACTTCCTGGTGTGCTGATGGACCCCCCCCCCCCCGCACACACACGCACTGCAGGTCTATTAAGGTTTGGGACACAGCTATGCATACTACGCTGTCCTCAACTTGCGATTTTAGCTTAGGTCGGCCTCGAACTCGTGATTCCACCTCTCTAGACTCTCGAATGCCGGGCTCACAGGCATGCAGCACCATGTGAAGCCAATTCTTCTCTCTTTTCTTTTCAATGGAGTTGGCAGTTACTGTGAGCCTACTATGTGCCGATAGACGCTAGAGGAGAAATAGATGATCACCCTCTGCCCTTGAGAAACCCGCAGTCTGGGAGGAAGGAGGCAATCCACTCTGGAAGTGCCCTAAGCAGGGGGGCTCTGAGACCCTGGTGAACGCAGAGAGGAGATGGCTCACCAGTTTGAAGGGAGTTTTAGAGAGGCCATGGTGTGACCCTCTAGATTTGTATAAAATAGTAACTTTTTATAATGCGTGGTTTTAATACTTCCACAGATTTGTCTCATTTTACTCCTTCTAACTGATGTGGGAATTGTTTTCTGTTTAAAGCTCAGGGAGTTACACGGCTCAGAAAGGCCAAAGGATTTGCTCACGAGTGATGGAGAGGGTGGTCCTGAGGCAGAGAGAGAGGGTACGGGCACAAAAGAGAGCAGGGCTCAGAGCTATGATATTAGATCTCAGGGTTCCTTTTGAGCTGATTGTGGTTTCTGTGGGGGCTTTTAGCTACAGGCAAAGGTTAGTAACAACAAAATGAAGCAAAATGCCTTGGAACACTAGGTTTAGGGTGACTGTGGCCAGGAGCTCAACCATGAGCATAGGTCCAGTCCTCACCCCAGGGGGGTAAGATGTAGCCTTCCGTGAGTGCCCATTAACATTGACTGTATGTCAGGTAGTCTGCAGTCCTGAATACTTGGGGAAGCTCAGCAGAGGTCTGGAGATGTAGCTTAGTTTGCTGTGTACAGCGTCCTGGGTTGGATCCACAGCACCACGTCAAACTGGGTGTGGTGGCTATAATTTCAGTACTGAGAGGTAGGGGCCGGAGGGTTAGAAGCTCAAGTCAACACTCAGCTGAGCAATGGGTTCAAGGCAAGGTTGAGCTACATAAGACCCTCTCTCAAAATCAACAAGGGTTTTGTTTTTAAGTCAAATGAAGTTTTACCAGATCATTGGAAGGTAGATTTTTAGATTATTATTCATCCTTGCCTCTTTGTAACACCTGTTGGCATCTGGAGATTGTGCAATGATGAACCAAGTCTCTTCTGGATCCTTAAATGCTGGAAAAGCAAGACCCTAGCAACCTCAGTTATATCTGTGGTTCGTGGGTCCAACCCCATAAACGTGGTGTCCCTGGAGTGAGAAGATGGAGAGGGCAGAAAACATTTACCTCCTCTTCCATTACAACCCAGGAGAGTTGATTTCCCCGAGAACTCTATCCGTTCTCCTTGGCTCAGCTTCTCTCTTTTACAACCCTCCCGATACTATCACAAACACAAAGAATCCACTACTCCCCACCCCTGCCTTGTGCTCCTGACTTCAGCTTTGTTCTCAATGTCCTTTCACAACTCGCTCAGTTACTGACTGGACTCACTCATGGAGGTTTGTGGCTCCGCCTTCCGCCTTGGGTAACTGGCCAGCCTAGCTGTAGAGACTGATCACACTGATCCAGGCATGCTCGATACTGACCACTGGCTGGGAAAGGACAGAGAGCCCTTACCCATCTGTGTGGTGAACCTTGGCTTCCTCCGCTGATGCGAGGGCAGGTGCCGGCTATGCTTCGGAAAGGGCCATGTGGGAAGCAACTTCCTGTATTGGTTCTATAGTTATTTTAGGCCAGTGGTTGTCAGGATGAGGTCCCTTGGATAGTAGCAGCAGCAGCAGCAGTACTGAGGACTATTTCGGGGTGGAGCCCAGAACTCCGAGCATACTGAATCAGATATCCTGGGAAGAGAGCACACCCAACTGTTTTAACAAGACTTTCGTGGGATTCAGAGGCTGGTACAAAGCTTAGGAATGAGGTCAGCCAGACTCTGTTCGGTGTCACGTTGTGAAAGCCACACTCCTGAAGAGTTGGCTACCCCTGCTTTACAGTCAGTCTTCTCTACCAACGATGCTGGAACATTTTGCTGCCCGCCCAGCTGTATTACAAGGAACAGAAGCCGGATGAACAGATGTTTCAGAAAACGATTCTTTTTTTTCTGCAATAGTTGAGTTTGTCTACCAGTATGTGGCTGAACAGTTTGGGTGGACTGTCTACATGGTTATGACCAGATTTTCTTTCTCGTGTTTGCTGACACCTCCTCTGTGGTCTATCTATTGCTGACATCCCCTGAAGTGGTTACCTCTTCAAGACTTAGGCACAGAAGACAAGAAATTGGGGCGGGGGGGGGGATTGAGAGACATGCTGAAAACAATTGATGGGAGCTTTCACGATTCAGCACCTGCTTTTGTTTCCCGTAAGGTGAGTTGAACTGCTTTCATAACCAAAACAGGAACTTAATGCACCCATGTTCTTACAGCACAGCTGTGTAGAGATCTAGTTTTCCTAGTTTCATCTCTAATCCATCTGTATTTTAGCTTATAACTGTTTTATATCATCTCTTCACAACCTTGCTATAGAGCACGGGAAATGCAATGTCTCTTTCAGGTGTACATAATGAATAAATACCTCATAACTGGTAGTCCTTTTTTGTTTTCTTCTTTCTAACACAGTTTTGCAGTAAGTTCTCACTATGTAGACTAGGCTGTCCCCAAGCTCCAAATCCTCCCTCTACAGCCTCCCAAACTGCTGGGACTAAACACATAGGCTACCACACCTGGCTTGGTAGTCCAATTTGTAACCTTCAAAGTTTCACGGTCCACATGAGTCATTGGACTGTTTTCATGGTGGATTTTGTTGGGGGTGTTGGTGGTGATGGTGGTTTTTGTTTGTTCATTCATTTGGCTTGCTTTTTAAAGATAAGGTTTCTCTATACAACCCTAACTGTCCAGGAACTTACTATGTAGACTGGGCTGGCTTTGAACTCACAGAGTTCCACTTGCCTTAGACTCCAGCACTCCCTTAGAGTACTGGGACTAAAGGCATTCCCCACCATGCCTCAACCAAATGGTTTTAATTAGAATTCATGGTGCAAAACAAAAAAAAAAAGAAAGTAAACAGAAAAAGGAAAAAAAGCTTAGAAAAAGAGGTATTTCTGACATAGGTACCAAGCTTTTCACCCTCCATGGATTCAACCACCTTCCAATGTTCTTTACTGCTCATGGATAGGAGCTGGGAACTTCATTTAAAACAATGAGCTACCTAAATCCTGTTCACCAACTCTCCTTTTCAAAAAACTAGTCCCAAAGAAAGTTGAACTGGTTGGACACACCGACAACCTCTACATCACCTCATATCTTTTCTTTCAATGTGCTACAGATTTTATTCATTCATCTATTTGTGAATACCTAGGTTGTTTCAATTTCTTCTTTCCCAAAAGATTTGTTATTTTTATTTTGTGTATATGGGTCTTTTGCCTGCATGTATATGTCTGCATATAACATATATGCAATGCCTGAGGAGGCCAGAAAAATATATCGGGTTCCCTGGAATTGGAGTAACAGATGGTTGTGAGCCGCCATGGGGGTGCTGGGAGTCGAACCCAGATCCTTTTGAAGAGCCGCCAGAGCTCTTAACCCCTGAGTCATCTCTCCAGTGCCTGGTTTCGTTTCTCAAGTATTATGAATACTGCAGCAATAAGCGCAGGAATGCAGTTATCCCTATACTATGCTGACTTAGGTTCCTTAGGATATACACACCCTGGAGTAGCTATACACGAGTCACATGGTAGTTTTATTTTTGTTTTATGAGGAACCTTCACACTAATTTCTATAGCAGCGACACTAATTTGCACCCCAATTAGCAGGGGATAAAGGTTCCTCTTTCCCTACATTCTCACCAGCAATTGCTGTCATTTGTTTTCTGGATGAAAGATGTTCTGGCTGGGGTGAGGGGGAATGTCAATGCACTTTTTGTTTTTATTTCCTCAGTGGCACGTGTGTAGAGCTTTTCTTCACATATGTAGTGTAGTGTAGTGGCATGTGTGTAGAGCTTTTCTTCACATATGTAGCGGCCATTTGTGGTTTTTCTTTTGAGAACTATCTGCTCAGTGCTTTTGCCCATTTGTTGGTGTGTGTGAAGGGGTTCTGGAGTTTCATTTTTGGAGTTCTTTATATAATATAGATACAATCTCCTGTTGGGTACATAGCTGGATGACAGAAGTCAAACAAATTTCTTCTAACTCCCTTTCGGTCTAGGGTCATTTGGTTTTGGCGTCAAGCATACTCTATTCAAGGACTCGTGGGTAGCATGGGAGCCACACACAGTGGTTCAGATAAAGCAGGGTATGAACCGGCGTCCTTCGCCACCTCACCAAAGGACAAGGCATTCTTTATGGCACACGGTCTGTGCCATTCACACACACGCACAGGTCTCGGGAGAAACGGCCACCCCCAGCTAAGGGTGATGGCGCAAACCTGAAGTCCTAGAACTCTGGAGGTGGAAACAGGGCCAAGAGTTCAAGGCCCGCCTAGGCTACAGGAAACCCTGTCAGAAATGAACAAACAAGCAAAGAGCATCCAACCTCTGATAGTTCTAGGCAGCGCCAGGCTCTTCCTTTTTCAGAGCAGGTATTCAAGAGCTCTCCGTCCCTGGGACCCACCCTACTTTTGTGTCCGTTTCAGGGATATAAGTTTTCTTTTAAAAAAATGCAAAGTATTTTGGCGATAATTTTTCCCTTTCCCCAACTCCTCCCACATCCAGCGATCTATGTGGAAGAGGGTCAGAAAGAGTGTGGACAACTACAGAGGGGCAGTGTTTTGCAAACACAGCGGGGTCGACGTCCACGCAGAAAACACACAGCTCGCATGAGACCTTCGTAAGTTCAAATGGGCACGAAGCGTTTTTCTTCCTACCTCACCCTGAGATCTTTGCACAGGCACTGGGCCAGGATGCTGATGCAGAGAGACAACTCTAAAAAGATCAACCTGGAGGGCTAATTTGGACTTTACTCATCTGTTAGGAGAGGGATTTTTGATTTTTGAGAAGTTTAAGTCATTTCTACTGGAGAAAGCTAAGTAACCGGAAAAACTGAAAGTCAGCAATGCCCGTTCATATTGAACACTTGAAGAATGGGATCAGTCATTTCTGAGAAACGGTTCTCTAAAAGGCATGTGAAATATCTTACCACGAAATCCCTTAAGAAGAAGAGTCTCTGTGGTTGGTTTTCCGTGGTCGCAAGGAGATTTAGGAACTTGGCTATTTCCAGATGAGTCAATATGAAGATGGGTCAGAGTCTTAGGGGCTAGTCGGCCTTCACTTTTTAATAAAATAGATTATGCTTGAGAAGAAACTTAGAGAAGGACTTTAGTTTATCAGCAAATTAAAATAACTGTACTCTTTAAAAAAAAATTGCCCCATACTTCTGGCTTCCTGTAACTGTGTCTCGAACAAAAGGGGTTAAATAATATACCTAATTATTTTTTCTTAAATATGAGATTTCCTGGTTTTAAGTGATTGGAAAACACTTCTCCCAACAAGACAAGTGGAGGCCCCATGAGCAGCCTGAACAGAGAAGCAAGTTGGCGGACCGGATGGATGCACTGTGATGTCAGACTGGCTTGAAGCAGCTTGCCGCGTCAGAGTTCCGTGATGTCCACCAGATGACTCGGACTTTGGGCTCCCTTTCCCTAGTGTATGTTGAGCCTAAGCCACACCCACTTGGCAAGCCTGTTTCGAGGGTTACAGGTATGACATGTCTAGGGGCCGCCACGGTGACATGAAAATCTTAAGGCTGCCACCGTTGCCAGATACGGAATACCTCTGACTGAATATCTCTTGGGCAGAGCTGTTCAGTCTTAAGCGCCAAGCGAAGGAAGGGTTGAATTCTATTACCTGGGCAGACCCCACTGCGGCCCAAAAGGTCTTCGCGGATAACTTCCCCAATGTGAGCATCTCCCTCGTGATTACAGAATGGCGGCGCTTCTGAGACCAGAGCTGATTGGTGGATGGTCAGTGGTAGTCTGGGAGAGGCATTTTTTCCCCTTTGGGCGTGCCGGTGGGCGTGCCGGTGGGCGTGCTGGTGGAGGAAGCGTCCAATAAGGAATCGGGTTGCATTGACTGAACTGCAGTGAGCCTGCCATCTACCCTCTGTCTCTGCAGTTTACAGTTGATTGATTGTTTCTTCCACATTCTGTAATTGCTTCATTAGAGGCTTTAGATGCTCGTTGTGTTGGCAACTTCCTATAAAACTGCAGAATCAGGGGAGGACACGTGCCAGTCATAGGGAGCTAAAGACTCCTCTGTGTGTGTGTGTGTGTGTGTGTGCTGGCGTGCGTGTGTGCACGCGCACGCATACATGTGCGTGTGTTTGAAAGGCAGAATATTATGCATACTGCGCTGGCTAGTCCTATGTCAGCTTAAACGGGGGGAACCTTAATTGAGAAAATGCTTCCATAAGATCCGGCTGTGAACTGGACGTTGTGCCTTTAATCCCAGCACTCAGGAAGAAGCAGAGGCAGGTGGATCTCTGTGAGTTCAAAGCCAGCCTGGACTACAAAATGAATTCCAGGACGGCTAGGGCTGTTACACAGAAAAACTCTGTCTTGAACCTCCCCACCCCCTAAAAATATGTGGCTGTAAGGTATTTTCTTAATTAGTGATCAATGAGGGAGGGCACAGTCTATTGTGGGCGGTGCCATCCCTAGCCTGGTTGTTCTGGGTTCTATAAGAAAGCATTCTGAGCAAACCATGGGGAGCGAGCCAGTAAGCAGCACTCTCCAGGGTCTCTGCATCAACTCCTGTGCCTGGTTTCCTGCCCTGTTTGGGTTCCTGCCCTGACTTCCTTCAGCGATAGACTACAGCGTGGAAGTGTAAGTCAGTAGCCCTTTCTCTTCCCAACTGTTTTTTTGGTCATGGTGCTTCATTGCAACAGTAGAAACCCCAACCAGGACGCACACTTTCATCCCTTAAAGATGGCCAGCATATGGACAAGACGACCTGTCTCTCAGCGCTACCTCCCTCGTACTAATGCTCCCTGGCTTGTAGCTCCCAGCTAGGACTTCAGGCTAGTTAGTCGAATCCCTCCAAGGCATCCCCTGCTCGGCATCCTCCATCTCTCCCTGACCTGTGCCCTCTCTTCTTGCCCATGGCAGTAAGCAGCTTCCCGGTCTACACGGTGTCACGGATTGATCCGCCCGTTGTCTCTGCCATCTTCAAGCTGCACACTCATATCTGGCTCCTGGATTCTGTGCCTTCATCTTTATTCTCTGTTTCCTCGGTCAGTCCAATCCTTCATCCCCCCAGTCACTTCTTCAGTGTCCTCCGTGAACCACTGTGGTGGCCCCGTCTAGTCCAGCCAGCTCCCTCCAAACTGCAGGAGTCGGGAGCATCCTTTTAAAGGCAAGGCCGAGAACATTGCTTTCACATTTAGAACCTTTCAAAAGCTTCCCAGTGTCTGCAGCATAAAGCCACCGAGAACTTTATTAGGTCAGAGCGTACTGTCTTCTCAGTATCTCGTGTCCCTCTTTGAAAAGAGCGGTTGCTTCTTTTGCATAGCATTCTTCACAGGCTGCTGTCAGGGGCCACGTGTTTCCTGTTCCCCCACTGTCTCCGTGACCAGAAGATTGCCTGCCGTGGAGTAGGGGCTTGGGAACTAGCTAGCTAGCCTGTGGCTGCAAAAGAACAGGTGTCCTCCTTTGCTGGCTTTCCACCTCTGTTCTGGGATGGCTTTGGGGATAGAAACAGAGATCTTCACTGGGCTGGGCGGAACATGCTCACGCAGTTGCTCCGAGAATGGATGCCTGGCTTTTCACTAGCGTGCACTTCCAGACTCAGTTGTGCCAAATGCTCCCCTCCTCTCCAGCCTCCGCTGCTGCTCTGACAAGCTCCCCTTTCCATTCTGAATGATCACACGCCCACTCATCCCACCAGGGCCGGAGCACTGAGTTTGTCTTTTCCTCTCTTTTCACCCAGGAAATGTTGATTTCTCCCCCCTGAAAGTCAGCCCAGCAGCCCCTTCTCTGGCGTCCCAGGAAAAGACAAGTGCGCTTTGCTTGGATTAGTCAGCTAGGAGTGCATTAAACAAATTCGTCTAGATTAGGGAGGGGCTTAAACATCGGACGCTCAGTTCTCACAGGGCTGGAAGATGAAGCCCAAGATGAAGATGCCAGGGTGAACTTCCTGGTTTGCTGTTCAGAGCCTGGCTGTCAACTCTTTCTGTCTTCACTTGATTGGTGGAGGGGGCGTACTTTAGTTTCTGGGTTTTTTTTTTTGTGCTCTTTTTTTAAGGTCACATATTCTAAGACGTCCACCCTCATACTCACTCTTGTCTACGTCTACTTATGTTCTACAGGCTCAACTATGATCACGGCATATGAATCTTCAGAGGGCACAAACATCCCCAACCCTACCTTACCTCCATACTTTACTAGGTGTAATCGTTATGGAAGCTACAAACGCCAAACACCTGCTACGCATCACAGTCTTTATTTCATCACGCCTCCTGAATCTCTGAAGGAAGATGTACATCTGCTCCTCCCCTAGAAATGATGGACAGCCCACTCATCCAAAGAAGTTCCTGATCTCAAAGCTAAGGCGTACCCACCCTCCTTATATTGCACAAGCCAGGGATTAATAACTATTTTCTGTCAAATGCCAAAACATAAATAGTTTAGTCTTCACAGCCGTATGGTCTCTATCCTGACGATTCATCTCCTCCATGTTAGCACAAAAGGAGCCACAGAAACAACATAAACGAATGAGCATGGCTTTGTTCCAATAAAACTTTATTTAGCACTTTGGAAATTTGAATTTCATTTAGTTCCCTTGTGTCATAAAATAAGACTTCTTTGGATTCCCCCCCTCAACCACTTAAAAACACAAAGTCTAAGCCTAGCTCATGACTGTGTAAACACACAGTGCTTGCTTACTCTCGGTCTGGACAACCGCAGTGAGATTAAAACGGGAATTATTTTCTAAAACGTGTCTCCCCACTTGAGCCACTCCTCCAGGATTCACCCTGTGTCTGTGAGGCCCACTTAGCATTTCCTGCCTCACTTACGCAGGCTCTCCTCCTACCCTGCTGCCTCGGCCCAGGCCCACCCCACAAGCCAGGGCTGTTGCCCCGGCTCCTTCAGGTGCCGACTCCCGGATTTCCCTCAGCCCAGCGGGCCCTGGCTGCCCTCCTGGAAGCTGGCACAGCCTCTTCTGTCACTCAGGTACTTTACTGTGCCCGACCTTCCTCCTTGTCTCCCCGTCTAACCAGACACGTTTGTCTGCCACTTATCATGCTTACCTCTGTGAGGAGGTTAGGAGAACAGCAGGCAGGGATTTGTCTTCTGTTCACCGCCATAAAACCAAAACCAAGACGGCTATATGATGGGGAAGACTTGTGTATATTTCAATAAAGCACTGTTGGCCAATAGGGAAGCAAGATGGGTGGGACTAGGAGTCCAGGAGGATTCTGGGTAGGAGAAACACAGGGAGTCATGATGTAGCCTGCCAGAGAAGTAAGATGTCCAGAACTTTTCTCCGGTAAGAGAAATACTTAGATGAACAATTATGGGGTAAATGCTTAAGTCAGAGCTAGCCAGTAAGAAACAAGCAAGGCCAACAGCTTCATAATTAATACAGCATCTTGTGTGTTGCTTGGGGACTACAACGCGACAGAGCCCAGGCGACTGGTGGGGAAAAACCAAAGTGGCAGACAAGGAAAAGGCTTCTCTCTACAGCTATAGCCCTGCCCGCCATGAGCACTGAGTTACCCACATCTCTTAGAGACACCCAGCACAGAGTACTCTTGGCACGAAACAGCTAGGATGAAGCTGGGCACGGTGGTGCATACCCATGATCCCAGCACTCAGGAGGACTGCCATGAGTTTGAGTCAGCCTGGGCTACATAGAGAGACTATATTAGACACGGTTACATAGTGAGACGTTGCTGAGTTTGAGTCAGCCTGGGCTACATAGAGAGACTATATTAGACACAGTTACATAGTGTGATGTTGTCTCAAAGCAAGCAAACAGATAGAAAAATAAAAAAAGAAAAAGCCCAAAGAAAATCAAAACCAACTAAGTACATCTAAAAAAAATCTTAACAGTCTAGGGAAAAGAGCCAGTTGCGGTGGCACGCACCCTTCGTCTCCCGGCAGGGGGACTGTGAGTGTGAAGTCACTCTGGACTGCTTGGAGAGTTCGGGGTTGTTTGGGCTACATAGTGAGGCCTTATAATAACACATGAAATAAAATGCAAAGTCTTGGATAAAGAGCTTGATAAGCATTGGGTCTTATGCTCACCAGAGACCTGACGGGTGGAGCGGGCATGGTCCAGACACGGGCCCTGGCCTCACATCTCTGAGCTCCCTGTTCAGCAGCTCTGGGCCGAGCTTCCTCTGCTGTGTGAACTCCTGACCCTGCTCCTTCTGGAATCCTATGCTGGAGGAGGAGGAGACAGGAGGTGATGGGGGCCTGGGGATCAGTCTCAGACGGGAGCAGCAGATGGAGTTGGGGATGGCACGGTGAGAGTGGCCTGGAATTCTGGCAGAAGAGGGAAACGGCGTGTGCCAGGGCTCCCGGCGAGCTGGCAGGGGAGGCCTGGCTTCTTGCTCAGTTAATTGAGGTAATTTCTGCTGCCACCTTTTGGATAGAAGTGAGACTCTCCCTCTTCCAGCCACAGATCGCTCCCCTGCCTCTTGCCACATTCCAAAGGCAGAACTCTCAATTTAGCTCCATCTAGTTAGCTACTCCTTAAAATTTTGTCACCTAGAAAAATAATTACAGGATTCCTCTGACAGCCTGAGATACACGGAATGCACCAAATTACAGGTGCAATTTGGAGACCCAACTGGAACCACCAAGTGAAATTGGCAGCAGTGGCCCTAATCCCAGAACCACCCACGTGGTACCCGAGGGAGTTTTGCCGCTGAGGCTCTTCTTTTCAATCCGCACATTAGGCCAAGAGGTCAAAGGAACTGGAGGAAACGGAAGGAAGAGACCTGGAGGCCTAGGCGGGGACCCGGCTTTCCTCCCGCTTGGCAGAACCTGGCCCTGAGAAGGTCCATCTTGGCTGGGCAGAGTACATCCAGTCTCTACTCTGTGCAGCCGGCCGAGAGTCTCCCCAGGTGAGCAGGGAGGGCAGAGGACGGCGTCCTCCTTTTCTTCTTCCCGTCTCCTTCGTGTTTTCTGTCACTGTAACCTGCAGAAACCAAAGCTAGCCTCCCAAGGAAAAAGCAACACCCAGGAGACAAAGCAACCCACGCCCCGTCCTGGGAAATGAGCGCAGAGAGCCACAGAGACGAGAATCTGTTGCCCACGCATTCTTCAAACAGGGCTGAGTGCCTCCATCGGCAGAGCCCCGCAGGTACAAGATTAGGGTCTCATGGAGATGCTGGGGGACAGAGGAACTAGCCAAGGTAGACCCGCAAAGGCCATAGTTAAAGGACTTAGAAGGGACAAAGAGTGTACGGTGCTACCCTGCACCCAAGGCGCCTTTGGATACCCTGCCTGTCAGTCAACTCCCTGATTTGTTTATCACAGCCTTCCTACAGGAGACAAAGGCTTTCTAACAGAGGTAGCCCCTAGAGTCGGGAAAATGTCTAACGACGATCTTTAAAAGCAGATGTGGTGCCTCACACCTGTAAACCTAATACCCAAGAAACTGAGGCAGGAGGATCACTCTAAGTTCAAAGCCAGCCTGGAAGACTGCAACACAGCCTGAGACCAGGCTTCAAGCGACCAAAAACAAGGGCTGGAAATGCCGCCGAGTTTGTAGCGCGCTTACCCAACATGCACAAAGCCCTGGGTTCAGTCCTTAACGCTACATTAAAAAAAAAAAAACTGGGTTAATGCCGGGCAGTGGCAGTGGTAGCACAGGCCTTTAATCTCAGTACTTGGGAGGCAGAGGCAGACAGATCTCTGTGTGTTTGAGGCCAGCCTTGTCTACAGAATGAGTTCCGGACAGCCAGGGCAGTTACACAAAGAAACCCTGTCTCAAAAAACCAACTAACCAACCAACCAAACAAACAAACCAAACCACCCTGGGTTCAGTCCTCAACCCTACATAAACACATAAGCTTGGCATGGGGGGGGCAGTATGTTTGTGTGCCAATCATTGCAGTACCAACAAGTCAACTCTTTCTTGAGAAGCTAACTCTACAGAAGTTAACCCTTGCCCAGTCCTTCACCTACCTCCAAAACACACCTCAAGTTCCAGCCAGAACTTTCCAGCCCCATCCTTTGCCTCTCTCCACAGAGCAGCCCTTCCTGTACCCCCGTCCCTGGCCCCGTGCTTGGGATACCTTGGCACAGGCTCTTTCCTCTAGGAAGAAGTCCTCTGGCTACCTTGGACCCTCAACACCATCTTCTGGTCCAGAGTTCATCCACCAAGTCACCAGTGGGGCCGCCTCGCCTGTAGTCACTGGCTTTGCCTGGGTGTTCCTCCTGTGTCTACTCCGTGGCTTTCATCCGCAAACCCAGACTGTCTCAGCCTGCTCTCTGCCCCTCCACAGATCACCTGGACCTTCCTCTCCCATTTCTGCTCTCCCTCCAGAGACTGAGAGAGCACCACCGGTGTTCAGTAAATAAATGCCCATGGACCACCAGCGGAGAAAGCAGCAGCACCCATCAAACATTTAAAGAGAATGTAAATTGCCAAGAACCGTAATGATGATAGGCATTGTACTACTTAGCCCATGCAACAGCCGTATAAGGAAATTCTACTTTAGCAAGTAACAACCGGAGGGTGATACCTATGAGCTATGAGTGTGGCCCAACACAAATCTGTAAATTTACCTAAAACATTACAAGATGTGGGGCTGGAGAGGTGGCTCAGCAGTTAAGATTGCTTGGAGGTTTCCGGAAGACCCTGTACTCCAGCTCTAGGTAATCAGACTCCCTCTTTCGACCTCTGCCGATACTGCACTAATGCGTAAGTACCAACACGCATGCACACACACAGGCACACAAATATCTAACAGTTGCGAGGTTTAACATTTTATTCCCTATCATTGTGTCTGTATTATGTACGTACGTGGGGGGGGGGGGGGATGCACATGCCACAGCTTTCACACAGAGATCGAAGAACAACTTTGTGGAGTCCGCTCCCTGCTGCATTTACACGGGTCCCAGGGACTGAATCCAGGTCATCGGGCAAGGGTTTTACCCACTGAGCAATTTTGAGATTTTTTTTTGTAATTTTTTTCGTAACTCAATTGTGTGACTCTCAAACATGGACATTGTAGACGACAACGTCATGTCAAACATCAAAAGGTCACACATTCCTGCCTCCAACACATATTTCCATTTTGCAGAAGAGGAAACGGAGGCACAAAGTAATCTAAATAGTTTTCCCAAGCTCACTCATCTAGTAAGAGTAGGGACCAGAGGCCATAGCCAAATTGAATCAATGTATGAAAAAAGAAGAAATGATATGTTTGCTAAGCACAGAATTTAGATAGGGCCCCATTTCGGTATTAACATTTAACCATGCCGTTGTCAGAAAGAGTCACTGGGAAATGAATTTCTGACTCTCCACAGGAAAGGAGAGGTCTTGAACTCTGTAACCCCTTGTCATCCCCCAATTCCCAGTGTGAAGTAATTCTTTCTAAGAAACTCCTAGGAAAAACAAAGCAAGAAAGACATTCCTCTCTAGTCTCCTGCCACCCTCCCCTCCCCTCCCTTCTTACACTGTCTATCACCAATTCCCAGAGCCACCCAGTGTCCCCAGCAGCCGGAGGGTGCTTAGAAGAGACCCATAGAGCCACCCCTCCCTCCCACCCCTCCTGAGTCCAGTCACAGCAGAGCAG